AAAAAATCATTTAAAAATATTTAACCTAAAGGTTTCATCATTATTCATGTTAATTTCCATATTTCTATTTAAACTATATAAAATATAATATATAAAATATATAAAATTAAGAAATAAAAAAGTCTAAATTTTTTCTTAATATACGCAGATTGAATTGAAGTAATCGATAAGACTTATAGAAAATTTCTTTTCAGAAAAATATTGTCTGCACGATTTGGACGTTGGAGACCAACGATAAAAATTTATGAAATTTGCTTGAAAATTGGCTTGTGTCTTTCAAGCAAGATAAGGCGTAATTGGATTAAACCGATGAATCTCGGTTCTTAAGCTGCTTATACTCCTGGTCTTGCTTCTTTCGTACATTGTTTTTTTTATTGTGATAACGATGAAAACTTTATGTCAGATTTAAAATATATAGCTTAATCAGCTCAAAATGTGTTTCATCATATCATTTTTACAAATAAATTTAAAATAAATAACAATAATTTTTCAAATATTTCATAAATTTAATATCTTAATAAAATATTCAAAATTAAACAAAGTAAACATAATTCCATAATCTTCACATTTAATCGAGTATCAAATAAAATGACAAAACTCACAAATGCATTAAACATTTATTGGATTTTAAATGATTTTATTAAATTATCTTAATTAGCAACGTGGAATTTATATTTTCTAATGTAATATTGTAATATGTACTAAAAAAAGAATGTTTAATAAAATTCCAATGAGAAATAATAAGCATGCCCAATAAAGAATCGTGTAAATAAATACCAATTTTCTGATTGCAGGAAAAGTAGAAGATATATCTGAAAAATGAGGCTGCCAATATATCGCACTCGTTCGATGAAAATATTCAGTGCATGTATTTTTTAATTAAATAGTACGGCCATATGTATGTTTATGTTACGCGTGTGCATGACATACTTAACGAATGGCGTGGCATAACGTCATTTTCAAATTGCGGACGTCATCCACAGAATCTCATGTCATCGGATAATTGCGGACACCTGCCTTGCAATTTTATGGTTCAATTCATTGTGCTTGGATGACGCTATATTTCATGTGGAATAATAAGATAATTTCCAATTCAAAATATGCCTAATACATTTTTAATGTATGTAAAAAATTATCACCAAACAACTATATACATATATTAATATTAATGAAACAATTATCTCACTGATATAAGTAACAATTTGTCTGTTGTTTTCATTACAACTTACTTTTTATTTTTATATTATTTTAATTTATATATCTATGTGTGTTTTATTGCTACTTGCTACAATTTGAAAAAATATATTACTAACTAATTATAAAAAAATAAATATCATTCTGTAAGTTTTTCGTTTCGTATATTACGTACGTATATATAAATCGTATATATAAATGTGACGATATCGCATGTATTTCGAGATACTGATTATTTCTAAGGACTTGATTATCTTAAATAAAATCATAGAAATCACATTGCATATACTATATCGATTACATTGAATACATAAAATCATAGAATTTTATGTTTCTCCGAAAGAGAGAAATTTTCTATCTGCATCGAATTCTAGCCGCGCATTTTCTCCGACGGGAATATAGAGAATGTGCATACGTGACAACAATTCCACGACGACTCGATCTCGACGATGGCATTAACCTCGGTTTGCAGATCGCGTGCGTAACGCGGCACGACGGGAAAGCCACGCGCGGCATCACGTCTCTCGTCATATGCACACACGGCGAATTACACACGACGTCAGACACACTTCGTGATAGTGAAGGATGTCACCGGATTTAATTCGGCGGTTTGTCGGGTGCTCGAGCGATCGAAACCGTACCGAGAATGACAGAGACAAGGGCGCATCGTGGATTAGCGGTCGGAACCCGGGGGCAAGAGAGAACGTGGTTGCGAGGGGGCGGGAGGGAGGGGAGCGAAAGGGGAGGAGGGAACGCTCCTCTCTCGTTGCCCCCCCCCCCCGGGTACAACAACGGTGTTTTT